AATACGAAACATCTAAGGAATATGAGAAAACTCCATAAAGAAGGTGTTTGGGTGCCTCACGTCTCTCAATTGATCATCGTTTTCAACGTGTGAACGTTGCTTCGTCCCTTGTGGCGTGTAATGCGCGTGAACCATTTTTGGACAGATTTGTCATCCTGGTTACTATAATCATTAATTTTATTTCATTTTTTGCTCCAAATCGTTTTCCTTCTTACCAATCAGTCAATCAACAGTATATATGCTTATTTCTATAAATTAAGTAGCCACACATTGAAGTATTATACTTCCTTTTGATTGGTTGAGCAATGTAACAACATATGATGTTTTTATTTCATCTATTAAATGCGCGTGAACCATTTTTGGACAGAATTGTCACAGGTGATGAAAAATGGATTCTCTATGCAAACATTAAACGTCAAAAACAATGATTCAGTTCTAAAAAAATCACTTCCGACCCCAAAACCTGGACTCCATCTGCAGAAAGTGATGCTTTATATTTGGTGGGACATCAAAGGAGTAATTCATTTCGAGCTCCTCAATCCACAGTGAACTGTCAATGCAGATATCTATAATCAGCAAGTGGAATGTTTAAATCAAGCCCTTCATCAGAAATGCCTTTCACTTGTCAATCGGAAAGGTGTTCTTCTTCGCCACAACAATGCACGTCCACATGTGGCACATTTGATGCAACACAAGATTATGGAGTTGGGTTGGAAAGTTCTCCCCCACCCACCATATTAACCAGATATGGCACCACCAGATTACCATCTTTTTTGTTCGCTGCAACACTATCTTAATGGGAAAATGTATGCAAATGTGGAATGTGTTAAAGAGGACATGGATATGTTTTTTGCTTCAAAGCCAAGTGATTTCTTTAATCAGGGCATTAACAACCTGATTTTAAGATGGAAAAGCATCATCGATAAGAATGGAGAGTATTTCATTTAATAAATGTATTGATTTTTTTATCTAAAAAAAAGCAACATTAATTTCTTGATGACCTAATATAACCTATTAATGGTTACATCAATTTATGACTTTAAGCCAAACAATGTAAAAGTTTCACTTATCAGTGTGATTATTTTTTACTATAAAATGACAGGTTTTTATAGATATCTATGAACTTTTAGATACTTTTTATTAATACATTAATGATTCATTAATCCCATATCACTTTAATAACCATAAAACATTGGTACAGAACCTAAAATATTATTGTTTTTTAACAGGCTATAAAAAAAGTCGTATCTTCAAAGCTATTCCATCTGATGTAATGAAGTATGTTACTTCTCTACCAGTTGCAATCAATTATCACAAATGGTGTTTAACACCAGAGGTCAGTATAGCTCTAGATAGTTATATCAAGAATAGTGCATTAGACTTTAAGAATCTTTTCATGTACATAAAGAAAGAAAGAAAAACCATATGAGTAACTTTAATTTCCCAGCTTTATTTGTTTAATTAACAAATATTGGAAAATATTGGGTTTCTTACTTTTATTCATGAAGTTTGGCTCTTATAAAACTTGGTGCACCATCTAATATAAAATGTAAATATGTTTTGAAAAATTTTACAGTCTACAACAAAATATGTAACAAAAACTATTAACATGATAAAATATAAAGTCATTTGCTAAAAGTTGAAATTTCTTTTCAAAGTAATACAATTATAATTTTTTTTATCAGTGTATATCAAGTTGGACCTTTTAGGTTGCTATAAGTTAACATTTTAAATGACATCTACAAGAAGAAGCTGAATAGTAAAAAAAAGACATTTGACATTATTATCTGGTGCCTATTTAGAATTTCACAAAGTCTGGCCTGAATGAAACATTCCAGATTCTCTCCACTAACAAAGATACCACTGGAATCACATTTATTTCAACTATTGAGGGTAAGTTAGCAGAATCACAAATTAGACAACAATATATCTTGGATCTACTTGTTGTATTCTTACTAAATGTTAGTACTTTGATGACAGTAGACTTTAGAATCATAATCAACCTGCTTAATTGCTATTAGTATTTAACTACTGTAAGTTAGTACAAAGATAACAATTGGATATGCAAAATTATCATATGTTTTCTACTTGGTTTAGAGATAAAAAAATTTTTAAAAATTCATTTAGTTCATATGCCGTTTTGCACTAAGTGCGTACTCCAGAAAGTCATTGAGACTGCTTTTTCTAATTGCTTTCTTTTTGTAGTAGATAATGTCTGTTCTTCAAAAGAAGATATTGCAATAATATATAATATGTGGGTTGAAAGGATTACTGACTATAATACCCTTTGCTGTTTGAATTAACATTGTCTGAATGTTACAACTGACCACTGCTGTGAGAGAACAGAGGTCATGTGGTGACACTGTTGGCTAGACAAAGAAACAGAGCTGACCTGTTGAAATGAAGCACATTTTCTTGGTTCAGTTCTACCTTGAGTAAAGATTTTTCCATTAAGATTATGTTTAGTTTGAAAGAAGTCTATCCTGAACGAAGGAAAACTGTGAAGCTAACCACAAACCAGTAGAACCAATTGTTTTTTTTAATGTGCAAGTATATATGCTGCATCTTTTTTGTCTGTTCTATGATAAGGATTGTGTTCATTTTGTCAAACTTGTTCAGTTTCATTATTTCACACACTCACACTCATTATTATCAAACACAGATTACTGTCATTATTTTCTGAATGAATCTGATGTTATTAGCAGGTCTAACTGTATAATATTTTTGGGAAATCAGTTTCCCACTGAAAAATACCACAAGTCAGTAGAAAGGGAAAATGTTGATGCCATGACATCAGGATTTATTCTGAATCAATAATGTGTGTACTAGTTCTTGTTTTTTTTATGTTAAAAATAGTTTCAAGATATGCTTTTAATGAAAGAATGGTATTTTTTAGAAGTAGTCATGACCAAGAGTTGGGGCTTAGCATAGAGAAACTGTTATACAGGAGAGATGTCATGTCTAGTATAAGTCTTTTCCTGGACATTGGACTTTAACTTCACAATTTTTCTGTATTTATCCCATGATTGAAACATAGCATTGCTCAAGCAAGTTTCTAAATGTAACTTTCCCCAAGGTCTAATTCAATTAAGTGCCTTTTTGTCTGTCTCTCTTACAGGAATAACAACATGCTTTCTTACATGTCCATCAGGAGCCGAGGGGTGTCTTTAGACTACAATTTGTTGAATATTAAAAATAAGTTCAATCCGGAAACTCCCAAAGAGGGTGGTTTTGGATGTATCTCTTAGAGGCAATTGATAATTTTTTAAGTGAAATACAACATCCTCAAGTCTCCATCCATACTAGCTGTTACTAAGTTCTACCTGCTGGGAGTAAATTCAGTATATATCAATAAAACCACATTCTCAGCATCGTTAATTAAGCAATTGTCAACCTTTTATGCTTTTGCTATCACCTTTTTATGATTAGCTTTCAATTGAAATACGAACGATTTCACCTGCAATTCAGTAGGGAGGGTCAAAGCATCACGATAGTCAGCAATAGGATGAGCAGACAGGAGCACTTTAAAAGAAGCTACAGGTATAATATTGTAGTCAGCTTGCTGCACAATATCTACCACGGTGGTTCTAAATGGTTCCTGGATACCTCTGCGTGTCATTTGGAGACTTCCGTGCTTCTTGTGCTTGGCTGTTAAGCTTGTGATGCACTGATAGATTTTGGTCGCCTTACCACTTCAAATCATTTTTCGTAGCCCCAACACTAAATGAGTGCGAGAAATGCCTTCTTTTTTAGCCAATTAAACATGTCCAAAAAATTTCTGGTCAAATTAAGAAAAGCCAGATTGGGTAGTTTTTTTGTTTTTTTAATAAAAATGGCCCCCCCAACTGGCTCATGAGGGACCTGCATGCCAAATTATTCTTATCAACAAATTGGGTAGTAGCTGTGAGTGGACTCCTCCATGATCTTCACTGCCCATTGGTCAAATGATCTAACTGGCATCACTCTTTTCTTGTGTCAGAAACTTAAAAGAGTTTATTGATATATTTATAATGTTGTTGGGGCCTGGAAGAGCAGATTTTTATGAATATTTCATCAGCTTCTACAAGATTTTCATCTATATAAGTTTTAAAGGGATTTACATAGATCTTTACGTAGAATATCACACTTTCATTTAGGCTTAAATAGTGTTTTGTAGTGCTTCTGTAAATATAACATTTTGTGTATTTTTATGTAATTTACACACTGAGAACTCCTCAACTTCTCATGAATTTGGTTTCTGCTTGTTATTTAACTAAGTAGTTGTTTAACTTCACCAGTGAGCAAACTGTGCATAAGCTACTTTTGTTGTGAAAAAATTCAAGTGGGAATTTGGATTTTACAGTGGATATAGTGAGGGTTATCTTTATTGTTACCCTTTAACCTGGGGTTACTCTTTTGTATATGCTGGTCTAAGATATGGGGGAAGGACATGCTCTGGCAAGAGCATATTGTTCAATAAAGTCTTCATCTCTCTTGTTAGTTCCACACTCATTTTTGTCACACACATAAACACATGAACAGTTGGCTACCATAAACTGTATTGCTATAGTATTGATAGTGCTTTTTGTTAACTATGAAAATTTCCTTTACATATTTGTTCATTTTATAATTCTGTGACCTATCTCATTATTTGTGGTCCAACCAGTTGGGAACACAACTGCATACAATATCCACAAACCAGCTTTTGGGCCCAGACTTCTCTGCTTTGTAGAAAATATTTGGAATAACCACATTGTGAAAATCTGTGACATAGGTTAGTCTGCAACTTTTGACTTGGGGAGGTTTGCTCATGTCTAGATCATCCAGACCACTCAGGCAGATGGTAATCTTGAGGGATGACATTAGCAGAAGGGAAGTGGAATGGTGCCTGGTGAGTTCAAGAATGTTTGGGGAGGTCTATATCAAACTAATAGACTGTTGCCAGTCAGAGCACTGCAATCACAACTCTGCTCCAGATCACCAGTGAGTAGGAAACAGAGGCTGGATGTGTGAATGATTTCTGCTAGTCACAGTTGTCACTCCAGCAAGTGAGACAGTGCATTCATTGTTGAAGATCATGACCCTGCAGGATGGAAAGGAACTCTGTAACATCTAGATAACTAATGCTGTAATTGTAAAAAGCCTCGCTTGGAATACATTCTCGGCATCATTAATTAAGAAAGTGTCAACCTTTTATGCTTCAGCTGTCACCTTTTTATGTTTAGCTTTCAATTGAGATATGAATGATTTCATCTGCAATTCAGTAGAGTATTGAGGTTTGATATTGATTTCACACAAACAAAGAAACTTCATTTTGTAGTGAAGCACACAGATCTGATAATATCCTTCACTAGATAGAATGCAGCATAAGCTTTTATTATATCAAATTAATATTTTACTTTAACTTTTTATTGGATATGACTTTTTGGTTTTTCTACTATCCTTATAACTTGTTTTTTTTATTAAGTAATAAGTGGACTACATCATTGGGTAAGATAATAGAGTATATATTTTTGAAACTGAAATGACGAAAGAAATTATGCGACTTGCTTTATTAATGATTTTCAACTTGGTAAATTTATTGTCAAAGAAGCATTGATTCTGAAAACATCTCATATCATATACATTTTTGCATTATTTTATGATGTATTTACTTTGTTTGTCATCACCACCCCTATTGTAACTATTTTCAATAAGGCCAAAATATTATTTATTATCAATAAAATCCATATTTTAATTTGACTGTGGGCATTTTATTCTATCATTTGTTGCATTATTACTACTTACTAATACACATTTTGGCTGTTTTAATTTCCCCACATCTCTGACTCAATTTAGCAGAATTTGCTAATCCATCACATTACCAACCTTTTAAACATTTTAAACACCTAGTTTTTTTACATTTGCACAATAATGTTTCATTTTGAACTAGAATTGCAATTTTTTTGACAGTCATCAGAAATTTTTATTCATTGATTTGGAGCAGCCAGTGGTCCACTGGAGCTGAAAATAGGGTAAATTATCATCTCTTTGGCCACTGATATTGTTCAAAAATAGAAACTGAAAAAATAAAAAAACTTTCTACAATGGTTCTCTTTTTTTTCTAATGAACATGAGCTTACCTAATTTGCAGATATCGGCAGTATTAAGACACTTGTATTAACCAAGAAAATTAAAATAGTATTTTTAATAATAAGGTACAAATCATATTTGATCTTTGGGTGAAATTATTGATATTTCATGTTTTTCTTTCAGTACATAACCCTTCTAACTAGAATTTCAATATTACTCTCCAAGTCATAAATATCCATCATTTGTATTATTCAAGTCATTGCAGGACAAGTTTTTATTGTATTTCAGCTTACAGATATCCATTTTATGCAATAGCCTGGCATCCAGAAAAAAACCTGTTTGAGTGGGTGAACACGAAATCCCACCACAACATTCCTCACACAGCAGAAGCTATCCGAGTTGGACAGCATTTTGCAAATTTCTTTGTTGGAGAAGGTAAGAAAATATCTGAGAATAGTTACTGTTAATACGTTATACCTGAATAACTCATATTAAAGATAGAGGATATAGGTCATTGTCATATAATTCGACATTATGAAATTATAGAGAACAAACTACATATACAACTTTTTAAAGATGAACTTTATTTTCTTCTGCATAAAAGTAACACATGTTTAGATGCAAGAGTTATCATGTGAGCTTTAAAACTGTTAATTGAAGAACACTAATTGTACATAAGCGATGTTGTTTACTTTATCTGTCATTGCACGTTTTATTCAATACCACTTTATTTCCTTAGTGATGCTTTGTACTTTTCAGTTTTTATAAATTACAATTCCCAGAAAAAAGTTGTGAATAAGTTATTATTGGCTATATAACATGGAACTACCAGATACACTGCAAGCTGGTGTCATCATTGTTTTTTGGTTGTTTTTTTCTGAGCAACTGAACATTTATCTTCTAAAGAAGTTTTTTAGTGTTATTTAAATATTCTCCATATTTTTTTGATAGATAATATTAAACATAACCAAGTTTTAATAGAAAATGTCACAATGGATTTTAAAAGTTATTCAAAAAACAAGATACAATAATATAATCAATATGCATTAGCAATAAGCTTTGCCAGTACACACATTCATACTTTTTATTAGCTTTACGAGATCATTATCTTAATAACACAAGTTTGTAGCATCCTTAAAAAAAAATGGGGGGGGGTGCAATTTCAACCTTTATTGTCTGAGCTTTATGAGTTCAGAAAATCTAATTGGTTCTAATTATTTGAAAACAGAATTTGCTTGATTAGAGATGATAGCCACAGGTCATCAGTCACGAGTTTGACATTGATAAGTTACTGACACCAATCCAGTAGTACAGTAAAGGCTACTAAAAGTTTATGATAGCATCTAAAATCGATGCTTTGACTTGGGATTCGTTACTACAGCCAGATGTAGTAGTATAAGTGAGAAGGCAACCGAGGCACTCACCATCACGGTAACCAATAACTTGAGAGTTTTGGTTCTTGTTTTGGAAATGCCTGGTGAGTTGCAGATATTAGCCAATGAAGCGTCAGGACTATTAGTGGGTAGTCAGGAATACTATTTGGAAAATCGAAAGGATACAGAGAAAAGATAGTCATGTCTGGAGCTAAAAATCAGTTCTCCAGAAAGAATTGAGGTTCTCCCAGGACTGGTAACAGTTCTCCAGTTCTTGACCACTATGAATATGAAGAATATCCAATCTACAGGGATACACCAGCTCAACTTTGATGTAAGTAGAATTGCTATTTCTTTTGTTCATTCAGGGGAAAAAGATAAAGTATGTTTGCTGGAAAAAATATAGCTTTTAATACTAGTACGCTGAATCTAATTGTTGCTTGCATAAAGTGCAACCATTAGCTTCATTTTTTATAACTCTTAACTCATGATTCTCATTAATAACTAACCAACCAACTAACTATGCTTTGCCTCGTGCTCAACCTAATTTCATAATACAGGCCATTTCTAAATGTATGTGTACCACACCGAGAAAACTTAAATTTCTCTAGTTTCTTTCTTAAACTCTTAAGTATAAAAATTATACCGAAGCAATTGTAAAATTCGCTCAAAAACACCCAATTGCTTTAGCAGTTGTTGGATCCACTGTGGATCTCCTGATGAATCCATCTATCACGTAATAAATTACATTATTAACGAGAAAATGGTTTACTTTGTGGAGATGACAAGAAGTTCCAAGAATTGTTTCTGTGTGAAACCAACATACTACTCAATGTTAGAAGAGAAATGAAGGTCCATGATAAATTTAAAATTTTATTAGGAGGAATATTAATATAGGGATTTTCAATATCAAAACTGGCCATAGCATATTGATCAACAGAGGGAATTTTAGATATTTCAAAAGCAAAGGTGAAAGAATCACTGATAGTAAAACCATTTAAAGTAAGGGGCTTAAGAAGAAAAGGAACTATAAATTTAGAAGTTGTAATTGTAGAAGCCCACAGCTGAAAGAATAGGACAAAGAGGGTACTCAGTTTTGTACCCTGTGGGTAGGTCATAAAGAATACCAAGTTTTGTGCTGCTTAGAGAAATTTGGTGGAAAGTCATTTCAGAGATAATATTTTGGTCTTTAAGAGTCTTGAGAAATGTAGGATCTTATCTTTATCTATTTCATAACAATGACTCTCCAGCAATTTTCCATGATATTAGCTCTTTTCAGTTAATGACCATTTGAGTGTTGTCCCACTTATCTCGTGAATCTTTCCATAATCTTGGCTAATTAATGCCTTATTTGTAAGACTTCCAAGTGCATACTTATTCAAAGACTTAAATTACTCGTAGATGCATTAGGTAGCTTGAAAGTATGTGGTCAAATGGGATTGTTGTGATTCCAGTTGTTTTGTCCATCTTTCTTATTCAAACAGTCATTGATTTTGAATATTGGTGGAAGTTGTGGGACCTTTATCATTGTCAAATTCTTGTTGATTATCCTGCTTAATATACCAGAGAATATCCCCAACTTCATTGCAATGGTTCATTGGGTTGGAAAGTTCTTTGTGGATGAGGGCAAAAACAATGTGAATTAACATGGATATGAATGACAGATTTCTGTTTCTCATATGACCATAGTTCTAAAACCATCCTGACATTTACAGGGAAATAGTAACTGACTTATTTGCATTTCCATAATCTGTAGATGACCCATTGAAATTATTACTATTATAGGTGAGAATATTATGTTCAAAATTTTTTAGCAGATATATACAAATGTAATATACACTGATGGTATAAACAATTTGTAAATTTTTAAGCTCGGAAGAACAACCATAAGTTTCCAAGCACAAAAGAGGAAGCTTCTTCACTCATCTACAACTACAACCCTGAATATGTTGGTATTGAAGGCTCCAACTACCAGCAAGTATTCTTTTTCAAAAGTGGTTTAAAAGCAACGAGTCCTTGACAGCCTTTCTTATTGCTGGTCAGTTTTTTGTTAACACTAGACTTCAAAGTCTTAACTAAGTCAAACAAGCAAGAAGATTCCAGAGTTATTTTTTAAAATTTTAATTAAGAAATACATGAATGCTGATATATAATTACAATCAGAAATAATGTTTACATTAACTTCTGTTGATTTTAAGCTATACAGCTTAGTTGATAATGATGATCGGTGTTATTTACAACAATTGAAAATTTAGCCTATATATATATAGTTCTTTAAATAAAAAAAATACTTGTTTTTAATGTATAGTTATTATCTTAACTTTCCGTATATGATCTTCATCATTTTGACTGATCTTGCCACTAGGCAACCATGAAAGTAAACATACTATAACCTTTAATGACGTAAATGTATCTATGTGGAATTTGGAAAGACTTTAGTAAAGATTACAAGTCTATATTCACAAGAAACCAGATTTTTTAATTAAATATTTTTATCAAAGATTTTCCTGAATTTATAGAGTCGGAGACAGAGTGTAAGGCAATTTTCATATTAAGAATAAAAAAAAATTTTTTTCACCTATTGGTTTTAAATTTCATTTCCATAATCTCTAGAACCTGCTAAATGAATATTAGAAGTTTTTCTTAAGTAAATTTATTTTATCTGTAATTTTCTCTACCATAACATTATACAGACTTGTCCCATTTGATTGATCTTGTAACCATTACGTAACAATATGAAATAAATCCAAGTTACCTTTTCATTTTCTAGATTGACTGCAGATTGTAATAGAATATTAAATCTATTTATCCTTAACACCCTCAGGCTTGTAAGTTTATATCTGATTTTATTGTTTTTTGCTCTTCAAACCATTTCTAAATACTAAACCTGCATAACAATTTGTCAAACACATAGCTTAAGTTATGGTGATAGCAAGCTATGAAATTGATACAGAATAAATCAAAACCAATTTTGAAAATAAGCTAATCTCATAATGAAAGCAGCAAATTAAAATCTTCTCTTTCAGTTGGTTATAAATAATTCAGTAGCAAATGTCAGAGAAAATTATTCACATTTTTTAAAGACAGCATGCGAGTTTCATTAAAGCAAGAAGGGATATATATAAATAAAACATAAGTAATTTACTGGAAGCTTAGAAAATAACATAGGGGTGGAAATAATTTGTGAAATAGACGATTAGGAGAGAGGTAAATAATTTGATATATAGGGTGTCCAAAAAAGGCTGGAACCATAGGTTATTTGCAGCTTTTCTTAATTTCAGATGATTATGGCACTGTCAAAACATGAGAATGTTGAATTAATCCTACTGTTAATCCAACTCGTTTCAAATAACAAGGACAGCATGTGGAAAACATTCTGTAAAATTCATTGAAGTGCTTGTGGTTCCACACTTTTTGGGCACCCTGTATAAAAGTAAGAATTGAGAACTTAAATGTTTCTTTTTGAAATTAAAACCTGTACAGTTAAAATTTGAATTATAACTATGTTTTGATACCAAATTTTCTGACATGCATTGATATTAAAGTATAATTTTGAATGAAACTCTGTAAAAAGGTTGTGACGTGTACATTGACTGCTCATACATATTTAGAGGGTTAAGTACAAAGGATATCTCCAATCTTAACACACTTTAGGATCTGAGTGTATGAATATTTTACATAAGAAAAAGCTGTTACTTACCGTTCCAAAAAGTGATCAACTTTTAGTGATATAATACTACCTATGAAATTTTAAAATTAGTCTGTGTGTGTGTGTGTGTGTATGCCTTTCCACTGCAACTTTATATTGGTTGTAGTTGTTGCATAACTTGATGATTTGAAAATTTAACACCTGCCACACAAGCCAGCATCTTTTAGTACTGAGCCTAGGATGGGCAACAGGGTGATTTAAAATTAGTTTTATAGATCTCAATGAATGAAGCTTGCCACAACTTCTAAAATGAAAGAAAACTAAATATTAATGAAAATATAATATGATGAAATCTATATGGGTTATACTATGGTGATACCATACTGCACATTATACCATCCTTCTTGTATTTACTCTTCATTGTAGAAGTGGTATTTTTTATTTGAGAATCACAAGGAAAATCATCTTGTAATGCATTGTGCATTTACTTCAACACTGCATCTTTGGGCTTCACTGAGCTGCTAGTTTCACACAATACTGAAACTAAAGATAGATTTTTTTATTTATTATCCTAATCAAACCTTTTTGGAAGATGATGATACTATTGTACCAATTTTTTTTATGTTTCGCTGTCAATGCAGTAAACAATTGACGAATTTCAGATTCAGCTGGTATGTCTACTTGATTGGGATATCTTCTGACCTGGATCCATAGTTTAGCTTAATTGCTAAACCACAGCTAGAAAATTTCAAACATGTTTTATTTTACATTTATAAGTTAACTTCTTCATGTTGGCTCTCATGGTCTAGGGTTAGGTCATGGGTCTGGTCCAGTGACCAAGACCTCAAAAATAGTGCCAAACATATCTTCTTTTTTTTGGTCTAATCAAAACAACCCAAACCTTTCTGAAAGGACTCCTTTTTTTTTATCCACATCAAGATGCCGGGATGGCTTGTGTGGCAAGTGTTAAAATAGATTTCGTGTAACTTACTCAACCTTCTGTACTTGTATACAGTACCTTGGCTTGAACAACAATACATCAGTAATGTGTGTAATATCCTTTACCAAACAAATATGCAACAGAACTACTTACATGTAGTATATTTAACTTATATTAATATTACAATACTTCTTTATTAGAAAGCTCAGGACCAATAGGAACAGATGGAAGATTTACATAGTAAATTAAATCTTAAAAAACATCTGTAATAATTTTGGCAGTTAAAGTCTAGATACATTATCATATCCAAAGAGAGAAAAAAATTAAAACATGGAAGAATACAAATTCATCTCTCCAAAAATATTTTTCTCTCACCCTTGTACACTGGATTTTGGTACTTGTGACCTGCAACATCTATGGAAATAGTGAACTATACAGTCAGAAGAAATGTGTAAAAATGACACAGTTTGAAAGAAGGAAGAAAAAAGCAACTCACTTGAAAATAGTGTATGATATGATATTTTATAAGCCTGGCCATACCTTAATTATATGTCACATGGCTGAAATTAAACAACATGTATCATTATATAATTCTTTGTGTATTCGGAAACATCAGTTTCTCTGTGATATATTTTTATTAAGTACACAAACTTTCGAATTATCTTTACATTCCTTAAGGTCACAAATAGTTTTCTGTCCCTACTGTAATCTACCAGTTAAAAAAAAAAATGGCACTGAATTTTAATAAGTTTTATGTTGTTTGAAAGTGCATAAAGCCAAGCAAGTAGGAAAATTATATTATAAATTTATGTATATATATATATGCAAAAATAAAAATAAAGGTGGGAGGTGACAAAACTTGTCCTAGTAATTATAGACCCATTAGTCTTATATCAGATGTGGGAAAAGTTATGGAAAGTCTGTTAAAAGATGCTTTGCAAAGTCATTTAACAAAGCTTTGAATTTTATTGGATAGTCAACATGGTTTCATTGAGGGAAAATCTTGCCTTGCAAATCTTTTGACATTCTTTGAAAAGTTTACTGCTTATGTAAATGAGGATAAGGGTGTAGAATTGGTGTATCTGGATCTTCAGAAAGCATTATGAAGGTGCCACATAAAAGGCTTGTAAAAAATTATCTCTGTAGGTGTGGGGGATAAGTTAGCAAATTGGATGGAAGAAAATAGAGGGTTGTTACAATTGTAGTTCAGTCAAACTGGATTAATGTGGGCTCAGTCTGAGG